CTATTTCTTGTAGAATAAATAAATTTTTCTGAGCCTGCTAAAAACCACTATATAATTCACAAATTTTTCGGAACTGTTAATTAATTCACAATCATATAATTCAAAAAAACTACCGTATAAATCACAAATTTTTGAAATAATTTATTATTAATATAAATATTTCAATTGTTTCAGGAACTTTCTGTCTTTTGACTTTTATGGAGATGAATTTCATCGCTTTTCACTATTTATATTCATTTTTTTATCGCATTCCTTGTGGTTTTTCACTTTTTCTAGATTTTCCGCATGGAAAATTCATGTATATTTTCATTAAGTTTCAAGCTCTCACTTTTAATTTACGATAATAAAAATATGTTATATTTTTGAGTGAAACAAATTGGTTATGATAAGGAAAACAATATTTTTTAATTTTAAATTTTGAGAGTTACATTTCAAACTTTTACTTGTATACATTTCAAAGTATATGAATATATATAAAATGATTGATTAAGGTTTGTAATTAGCATGTATGCTAATTTTTTGAAGTGTAGATGATACAGAAAGAGTGTGTAAATATATCATTACCAGTAATTGCATTTCATTTTGATAAAATTGTAGTTGCTGAAAGTGTTGTATCTGTTTTGTGGATGTCTTCTGAGATATCAGCAAGCAGTAATAGTAGTGCTGAGTCTTTGTATGATAATCGATGGGCAAATTTTACAAAATTAGAATTATTAAATGAATCAAGTTGTATGGAAGGTACTTCTGTATACACACTTCGGTCTTTACATAATGAAAGTACTGAAAATGATAATACAATGGAAGATTCTTACGATCCTTTTTCTTATTCACACACGCAATCCTTCAATGCTGGCAAAATGGAATCACCACATGTAGATGATATTAACAACAGTTCTAATGAAACTACAAATTCGATTCAGCAGTAAATTATTCATAAAAAAATTTTAATCCACACATTTGAAATATAATTTTATTCATATAGTGGATAGAAATTTGTGAAATAAAATAAATGTTATTAAAAGTGATGTGATATTTTGTAGTTTTTTTAAGGTATTAAATATTCTTTTGCAAAAATATGGTCAATTTTTTTAAAATGCACGCATGCGATATTGTAAATCACATAATAACCTTCTACACTAGAAATTTCATCTCATAATTGTATTGATTCTTTTGAATTTTCATTCCGACGTAAATTAAACGTGAGTAGTGAACACTTCGGATTCAGTTAATATCTCATTTCAGAGATATTAAAGGAATAAATGACTCAAAGGAAAGTTACCATACCACATCAACTGACCAGTTATCACACAAAGAAACAAAACATATAGAAGATATATCATCACATCCGTGTTGTGCTTCACGTGTCTTACCACAAAAGGGTGAAAATCTCGACATTTTTCTTTATAACGTTCTTGACGTAAGTTTACACTTCAAATAGAAATTAAATTACAATTTAATAGTATTTGAATGTTAAATTTCTAACCTTCTTACACCAAGATCTTCAAATATTTTTATTGAACCTTTAAATGAAAATCATTTCTCGACTGCAACCATACTTCCCATTGTAACCGAGTTATCACAAAGAAAATATATTGTAAGAAACTTGTAGTAATCATCTAAAATCTTGAAAGATGAATGAATGATTGTACAGAATTTGAAGATAACAATTAAAAATCATTTTGCTTACTGCAGCAACAACATACACCTCAATTAGCCGCTTCTAAGTCAGGAATCAATGATTCTACTCAAATTGATACGTAAGTTTGCATACTCTTGATATAGTCTAATTAGTTCTAGACAGTGAAAATTTTTCTTTCCTTCTTTTAAAATGAATATTCTGTATTGCACTTGCATGAAACACTCTTCGCAATCACTTACGGCACTTCAGTTTACTGACCATCAATGACCACCACACTAACATAACTGCAATAAAATAGCAACTTATATACATACTATAACTTTACCACTTTTATTGCCACTTATCAGGTCAAGAAATCAAAAACGCAGTTCCTAACTCCTGAAAACAACCCACTGACATGAACTACCCACTAATCTACTTATTGTATCAATCAAGTTTTTCTTTACTTCGTTTGCTTCATACATAATAACACCGCGAAAGATTTCCACTTTCAGAGCAGATACTTCTGACGACGATACACAAAAGAAACAAGGAAATGACACAGTAAAGGTAAAATATTACGATTACTCTCAAGATACACTAAAGACTACAAGCACATAACTTCTCACTCCTTGATTTGAACGCCTAATCCCAATCAATAACCTCGAGCTTAAACTGAAGTAATAACTTTTACATAATGCATCGAAAGAAACTTTCTAAATGCAAATATCATTCTCATCCCTCCAACGATAATTATTACCTTAAATACTGTTTAAACACTTAGTGTCTCCAATCCTATACAACTTTACTTAATTTAATATGAGATTTTCTCATTCTGTACTTGTTAGCATGCATAGCCAAATTTGGTCTTTGCAGAGACCTCATCTTTTACACATTCTTGAGAAATCTGATATTTTGCTGCTTACTCAAGGAGTAATTTATAGATTACACACAGTGAGTACTATGTGTTGCGAATGGAAAATAATCCGAAACCAAGTATCGAACAGACAACGTCCGTATATTTATACAAATGCGCTGATCCATTTCATGCAACATAAAATACTGACAGAGTTTACATGTTTTTAAATAACTGCAGTTACTACCCTATGAATTAATATACAAATTTGAAAATAAAGGAATCACAGGATAACAAGAATTGCAATTTTGTTCTGAATATAATTTCTTCATGCAATACAGTAGCATAGTACAGGGTATAACAGAAAATATACAAGCATTAATATCAATCTAAGATACTTGAAACTATACACATTTTGTGATCAATTGCATTCAAATATTGCCTAAAAAGGACCAACTGAATAATAGGAAATATCGAGCTCATTCATACTTCAATAATTATAAAGCATGTTAAGGAGAAAAAGTGAAACTGAAAGTTAAGCGACAAATTAAACACCTTCAAATTGAGATTAAGGTTTATCACAGACTATTTACATTCGTTAACTTCATACTTACATACATAAAGCCAACACTGAACAACTGAAAATTCTGTAGTTGAAACATTTAATCTTTTTTAATAATGAATCCAAGCAATTAAACAAGGATAAATTTAAAGGAATCAAAAAGTGTGGATAAGATTCATGCAGCGACTGACGTATGAAATATTATTAAATCATAATGCTTTGCTGATATTTCATTAAGATAGTTTGAGGTACCCAATTTTTCGTTATATATATCAGATGAAAGAAAAAAACAAGACAAAAGATTATTAATCACAAAATATAGGAAAAAAAGCCATGTAAAACTAACATACGACATTAAACGAACATTACAAAATTATCAAACTACATATTCTTAGAAGAATAATTTGTTCAAAATGACTAATCACCGTTTCTATGATTGCATGCAGATAAAGAAAGAAGAACACAAAAAACTTGACAGATCCAATTAAAGTAAGAAATACGAATCAATTAAAGATTGCAAATGGTTCAAATACTGTATGTATTTAGAACAAATAATTCATGATATGAAAAAGATTAACACATCGAAATAGTCGCATTTAAACAAAAACAAGACAAAAAATTGACTACAAATAGAAGAAACAAGATATGCGGTTTGCAATGAGAATCATTTTTTAAAGCAAAATACAGTAAAAAGCACCACTTTTGGCTAGACAATGTTTAACCAAAAAAACATTGTCATAACAATAAAAAATAATTGAGAGAACATAATAATTTACAACAAAAATATTAAAGCTAAAATTATTCACTACAGACAGCAAATATGAGAAAACAAACATTAATACAACAGATGGCAAAAACCTCATCCAAATGATCGGCTCAGATTAATTTTTGACGGAGTCTGTTTTTTGGCGCTCAATTAGCTTTCGAACCTAAAATTGATAGTAAACTACTGTGAAACCTCCCAGCTTTTTACCATTAATTTTCAAAAATTCAAGAAAAAATTTCTAAAAAAAGTGGTAGAATAATGATGAAATGTGCAACAGAATCAGAAAGATTAAGTTAACTTACAAATTGATGAAAAAATAGAAGCTCACACCGAAAAAATATAACACTTACCTCGTACCCTTCTCCCATCCATCTTTGCTGCTCCAAATCAGTCATTCCATCAACTGTAGAATCATTCAGTGCTGTCCTATTGATGAAACCATACAAAACAGCATAAAGTTCTGGCATCATTTTCTGAGTCAAACAAAAACAAAATTGAGGTGACAGTAGCTGACAAATAGGGAAATATAATGCGGTAGCGTGTTCTGGAAAATTAAATCCATGAAAGCGACTATCTGCGATACGAAACCCATTATCCTGATAAAGATTCAAAGCCGTGCATAAAATCTCCAATTGTCTCTTCAAAATTCCAACGAAGAAGTATCGCGAAAACTCATAGATTGGCGTAGAACTGACCTCTTGTGCTTCATATATTAAGTGGTAGCAGGGAATATTATGAAATAAAAAACTACGAAGAAATGTTTTTTGAATAACAGTATTGCATCGTCCTTGTATGTGAGCAAAATGATAAGTTGTGAAAGCGACAGTCGCTTTGAACAGCTCGAGGTTTAGCTGTACGCAGCTTAATCTGAATTGATCTTGTTGCCACTTTATAAAGGGACTTATTGCTCCATCTAATGCTTCATTCAAAATTTCGTGTATTCTATTACAAAAAGTAGATGCTTTAAAAGTCAATAACTGGAAGCCACACAAAAGCAATCGCAAATTAAACACCAATGATTCTTTCAAATCATCCATGATGAGTTGTTCAATTAAATTTCGGACTTCCTCCTGATTACTGTCAAGTTTCAATGAAATCATAACAGTGTTAATAATACCACTAATAGACTGAGGCACAGAACTTGAATAACGCGAAACGATTATTTCTACCGCCTCATCCCAATTGTAAGTCTTTCGTTCCAGTTCCAGAGGCCACGTAAAATTCAGAAAATATGGTTCGCCATTTTCTTCATCAAATAAACCGGAATACAAAGCTATGAGCATCCGGTGTACAATATCATCTAGTACGATAGGCAAATTAGTATACAGATATAAATTTGTTTCGATCAGCATAGTTAAAAAACAGCAGCTGGGAATAATTTTTGCATTCTTATCATAGGTTGAGCCTAACATGTAAAAAGGCACTTCAAAAAAGTTCACAATCTTTAGCAGTTCATCATGATACCATTGCCAAGACATCACTTTAATTGATGAAATTTGGTCTTTATCTATCCATGATTTCGTTTTAACTAAATCAACTACGAACGGATCACAGCTGAAAGATGAATCAGTCAAGGGATAAATTTGAGCACAGTCTGTACCGACCAAGGGCATTTTTCGTAAAGCATGCACTGTTACACTATTCATCGCGATTTCATTTAAACTGTCCTTCGCACTATCTGTGAATTCATTCATATCCACAATTCCATCATTCGTTGTTACATTATTCTGCACGAGCAATCGATGAATTTGCCTAAAAAACATTGTTGGTAATTAAGAAAAAAGATCGACGAAAAAATCTGTTCCAACTAAGCAAAAGAGAATCTTAATAAACATTAAATTACAATGCATTCTAGATCACAAAAGAAGTTTAGGTTGAAATATTGAAAGCTTTAAAAAGAAACTTACTTATCAAAACTTTCTTCTACACTACTGTTAGTACCTGCTTCATATTTGAGAGCTGGCTGGAAATCCATAGAATTATAATCATATGACTGTCTTCTAAAAACTTCAAATCATTCTCAATTGACAATGATTCATTAATACTTTTACAATAAAGATAGCACAGTTGTTTTCAGAAAATATTAGAGTTCAAACTTTTAGGCATCAATAATTTAGAAAACGGAGTGATTTAGGCATATCTTGACATATATTGACCTTACAAATACAGAAAACTAACTGAAAATTTTGCTCTGCTTTTGAAGCAGTTAGTTGTACAAGCAATGCAGACTTCTCAAAGGTACTTTTTCCATCCCTAAGATACACTTTACTTGGGATAACACCTCTTAATTATGAAGAGAAATAACTTCCCAGTATAAAATGTATGTACTATGACGTAAACACAGTGTTTTTTTACACAGAAGCAAACTTGAAAAGACAACTCACTGTAATGTATCAGTTAAAAATGGTTCCACGAATTTCATAGCAGAGTAAAATGAAAATCTTGGAATATAGTTAGACTTTAATTTTTTCATGGTATTTCTCTCCCTCACAAATCGACCTTTTAAACAGTTCCAACGTTCACGGCATTTCTCACCTGCAACAGAAATTTCCCAAATCTTTTCTGGCACTAATAATTCTTTTGCGTAAATATGAGGATTAAATATCAAAGTATGAAATGCCGTACATAAATGGACTACTCTTAAACAAGTTGAATTTGCCTATTAATACTATGCAAATAAAGATTTCAACGTGGTGATTATATTTTATGCATTACAACAAACTCGTTTTTTTATGTCAAAATTTAGAATCATTAAAATTTCGACATGACTGCAACAAAACTTATGATAACCAAACTGTTCTTTTCCATTTAAACTTCATTTACTAATATATGCTGTAAATCTTGAAAAAGGACGCACCGGTAGTTCTATAGCCCATACCCTGAAGTTTCTTTGATACTTCTTCCCACAATTCCACTCTTGATCGACCTTTTTTATAATGTTTATCGGATGGATCATAAAGATATGGGGAATTCCGAACTGTATCAATTAAAGCATGATTATAATTTTTAAATTCCATCCTGAAATAATCTGCTTCATGCAACAAATTGACACAGTTTACTGAAAAATGTTGCTAGCCTCTTGGATATAGAAACTACGAGTGCAGATTTTAACTCAGTAATGATCTGTTATTTCGTTATTATTAGAAAATGAAAGAGTACAGGAACACGGAAATTTTCTTTAATATTTAAGATTAACATTAGGTAACTGCCATCCAATATATCTCCTTCAGAACTTCAAACCATATCGATAACATCCTACGTAATGATTCTAACCTAATGCTTATTCAGAATGCCTTAAAAAACGTGTGAAAAAACACAAAGACTGCATGTACAAAAAGGCAAATCCATACTTTAGCTTCAAACTCAAAAAAAAAATTCAAATGGATAGCAGTTCAGAGAGGAAAGGAAAAAATTTTACAAACGTTTTTATCAATTACATCGAAGAATTCCTGATGAAATTATCGCATTGGAAGTCATCTGTCAACTTCATTAAATCCATCACTGTACTAATTGAAGAATTTTGAGCGTAAACAAATTTAAGCTGATAATTAGACGGCCAAATTTTCGTCACTTTACGAAAATTTAAGTCTCACTGCTATCATTTAAAGTTCATATTTTGAAAAAATTTTCATAATCATTCAGCTTAATATTATTAAAATCACATGGTTCTGCTTGGTTTATTTGTCTAGTTTTCACATTATTGTTGAAAATAAGAGGCAGTGACTGAGAACAAATCGGAAAAAATTTGTGTTAGATTTTAGTATATTACTAAAGTAACATTTATTACTTACTGCCAAATCCGTTATTTATCTCGTGAATGTCACAACAATTTATGTATTTAGTTGTTCAAGTTTTTTTATTAATTAAAGACTGAAAAAAGACTCTCATAAAAGATTGTTTTCAGTTCTAGTAGGAAATAGCATAGCTTGTACTATAGATGTATTCCACTGTTTATTTCAAGTCTCATCAATTAAGATTTTTTTCAATATTGATATAGCGTTGATTTAACAAGAAAATGATAAATTTGTGCTTCTAAATTACATTTACTTAATTTACATAATAATTATGGCAGATTGGGTACGTTATATTTTGAGATATTGCTGTAATTTAACTAATAATAATGTTTAAAAAATTTGGTAAGATATCGATGTTTTAACATACAACGATCTTGAAATAAAAGAAAGATCAATCGAAATCATAACAGTAATGAAAGAAGATCGAGACTTGGGGAAAAAAGCGCTGGTTCTACGTCGCAGTGATCCAAACGTTATCGACTCGTATATATTTAACTGCTTTTTTAAATACATCTCAATTTTATTGTAAACTGACAGATTTGGAAATTGCTGCACTGGAATTGGTTATTTAGCATAATTTCAACAATAGAGATATTAATCCCAATTATCATAGATATTGAGACAAAAAGAATGCTTTTTGTATTAATGACTATATTGCCTGAACTTTAACAGTGGAAAATAATTATGCAGTGTTTTCATATCTGTTGTCTTATCCAAGTTTTGATATATTTATTTATCAAAAGTTAGGGGATATCTGGCAAATTTCACGAGTCAGCTTTTTTACTCTCCCACATCTCTGGTCGGCTCTTTTCTTAATTAAGAGGACTCAATCAATTTCTCAACAGAAATTTTTATTTAGATTCAAATTTTGTTTCTTGTTTTTAGGATTGTAGCGGGAGAGTTACCGTGGGGTTCATTGAAATTGGTGCCAGCAAGCAGCGTTGATTATACAGTTCCCCCAGGACATTTTGCTGTGAAGTCGTTATTGCAGGAATTATTTTCTGTTTTTGATCGTAAAATCAATTTTGTCGAAGATAGTGACGGGGTAAGTGTAGGCGAGCTTTTGCAGTGATTTTTCAATGGGATTGATCATGAATTCAAAAGTTTTTCTCTCATGCATAATTAGATGATGATATAAGTTTTCTATTTGTAGAAAAATTTCATACAATTGTTTCATTTATATATATTTTTTAAATTTCTGCTACTTTCAAATTTAGTCTTGCGCTTTTTTAATAAATTTTCACAGGATTCGTAATTTTCCATTTTTATTGTTAGAATATCTTGTGTCACGTTTTTGAGGTCGGTTTTATCGGTATATTTTCGTAGCTTATTCTGTTATAAAAAAAGTTTTTTATGATAGCGAATAAATTAGTAATTGGGGTTAAAAATTAGTCTTACACTGAATTTAGAATTTCTTTTTCTAATGAATCTTGATATTTGTTATAGGAACGTAATGTTAGCCGAACCATTCAACTCGTAGATGATAGCTATGTGGAAAATCTTCTACGAGTATTAAATACGCTGTGTGAACATTGCCTACCTTCTGTTCTTTCGACATTGATTCACTGGTATGAAAGATGGTTAAAAAGTTTTAAAGAGATCAGGTGACAATTATAATCCATATTTTATTATTCACTGCATAACTTTCTGGAAGACTTGAGTTTAATAGTTATTAAATTTGATACCAATTTTTTTTAAGGATACTAACGCTAGAAATTTTCGCTTATATTTTTTGCATTTTTCCGCTCATATGAAGAAGTATTTATTTAATGAACTAAGTTTACGATGTAATGAATTAACCACCTCTGTTTCATCAGATTGGCTTTTTAATGTTTCTGTATCATATCAAACTAGAATCTGTATATCAGAAAAAGCTTTCAAAAACTTGAAATTTTTATAGAATTCCAAATTTTTAGTGAGAAAACTACGAAATCAGATGAACAACGTTTAACAATCAACTATTTGTTTTGCACCGTATTAATTGAAATTTTGCCACAACTACACTTTTTTCCAACAGTTTGCGAGAATTCTGTTTCATATATTGTGGCTTTGGCGTTTGAAGAAGTTGCATATTGTGAACCGTTGGTTTTATTAACAGTATTAAATGGAACTGATTTGCTTGTTTATGTTTTTTTTAAATTGAGGAGTATATGTAATTCGTTCAAACAATTCATACTAATAGTCAACATAGTTTAAGTATGTAAGTGATGCCATTCGGTAGCTAGTAAAAATTGAGGTAAACGTTAATTCGAATTATAATGTTTATGAGTTCCACTGATATGCATTTTGTTTTGGAACTACATTTATTTTCTTTTTAGTATTTTAATCACTGGCGTTTTTAGATCGGTGTATGGCCCAAATTACAATAATTACTTGTTAGTTGCCGAACGTTATGCAGAAGTTCTTGGTGTTTTATCTCAAACACATGCCGTTTTAATACAGCAAAAATTTCTTAGCATATTAGATGAATTGCGAAAAGAAAATCCAATGACACCATTTGGTATGAACTGTATAATCGCACTATTAATGGCTATGAAGTGCTATAGAATAAAGGTAATTTTTGGATCCAGCATAAAAATTTGTATGCATAAGAATCAAAATTTGCGATGGCTTATAAATATATTGATCAAGTTAATACTTATAGATTCGGAATTATTCGTTATTTTGACTATAATTTTGCTTTAATCACAGAAATCTCATTCCTTCATTTTAATTCGTACTGAAATAGTCAGTATATGAGAAATTGTTCAGACTTACAAATTTTTAGAAAATATCTAGTTTCCTATGAGAAATATACTTAAAACTAATTTTAACTTTCAGACCAGTGATGTAGATGAGTTCGAAGTTGGCATACGTTTTTTGAATGAACTTGGACAGTACTATTTGGATATCAAGCAAAAAGACATTAAGCATGCTGTTGCCGGTTTATTAGTCGAAATACTACTTCCAGTCGCTGCTGTAAGATATTTTTCACCTTCTTGATTATACTTGAAATTCATGAACCTCTTATTCATGTTAAGAGGGACGGCAAATTATGTTCACTAAATTGATTGTAATATTTGGAATGATGTAAAAATATATTGAATTCTTGTGTAAAATATAGAAATAATCTTCTTGAAAAATCTATAGAAAAAGTATTTCACGGCTTTTTTATGAATAGAAAAGACTTTCAGCAAATCAAGACAGAGGCCAACATACCAGCTGTGATATCATTTGTTGACAAGCTGTATGCACCTACTTTGGAACTCGTGAATAAAAAGCGCGACAAAATGGTATTTACTCTTATCTTTGCTATTCCATATCTTATTTTAATGAATAGCATCATCTGGCTTACTTTTAAAAGTATTCAAAATTGCATATTTTTATTCTTATCCTATACTATATGCTAAGCTTAATTACTTTTCGGAAGAGTATCGCATCATTTCAGGCAGCATACCCGTTATTAACTTGCCTACTATGTATTAGTCAAAGCAAATTTTTTCTAATGAATTGGGCTCAGTTTTTGAACTCTACTTTGGCGAGCTTGAAAAATAAAGATCCGAAGGTATCGAGAATTGCTCTAGAATCTCTGTATCGCCTTCTCTGGTTTGTGGGTTCTTAATTTTAAAATAAATATATTAGCATATAATGATTTTGATAAGAAAAATATATGTATATAGTTTTAAGTAGATTCTAACTTTTGTCTTCATCAAAAAAGTTTTTTTTCAGGGTATACGTAATACGTAACAATTGCGAAGGTAATACTGCAACACGTAATCGACTTGAGTCCATTTGCAATTCATTATTTCCTAAAGGTAATCGAGCAGTTGTGCCTCGTGATGCCCCACTTAATATTTTCGTTAAAATCATTCATTTCATCGCACAGCAAAAGCTTGACTTCGCATTCAAAGTATGTCCATGATATGAACCAAATTTTTTATATAAATACATATGTCATTTTCCGTATATTTTTCGTCACGTATTACTAGATCTTACCATCTGAAAGCAGCGACTTTCTGACACGCTTTTCATCATTCTATTTATTAACTCAATCCAATGTGTTATTAATTTGCGCACTATGGCTTTTAAAGTTCCGAAATTGTCTAGTATCTTGACAGCTGTTATTAGAAGTTTTGTTCTTCGATTTATTAATTTTTCAGGAAATAATATTTGATTTACTGGGTTGTAATCGAGCACATAGCCTATTAAAAAGTTCAATTTATCCTGAGCGTATGAACATTGGTGTACGGGCTTTAATGGTCATTGCAAATAGTTTGCAGCAGAAAGAAGGACCACCTGATATGCCACCTTCGATAAGTAATCAAACTTCTGTCGATAATCAATAAAGATCGTTTCAAAAATAACTCTAATTTTCTTTCCATGTTTTCCAGTCTTTTAAAAGTGCTATCTTTCAGCTGTAAGTTCATCACAACGATTAAAAAAAACATACATATCTCGTCCTTTAACACCAGAAATTGCTCGATCTATAGGCATTGAGTTATATTATTCACCATGTAGACGAGCTTTTGATGCAATTCTCAGAGCTCTTGACTCACAAGTACGCCGCTTTTCTTATTTTTTATTTTATATTAAAAGTTTAAACGTATGTGTTCAAATATTCACATAAGGTAACTTGATCTCACTTTTTTATGAAGTTAAAGTTACATTGGAAATCGTAATCAACAGATTTAAAAAATTACAATAAAAGTTGGGAATCTCGATTTTTTTGGGTAACTGGATGTTTATTTATATTGAAAAAAGTTTACATCATAGGTAGGGAAGCCATTAATGATGACGGCTGCTCATACTCGAGGAAAGGAACCGGAAGAACTTTTAACGTAAGTGTGATTCAAAGAACAACAAAGTATTGAAAAGAATGATATGAAATTATCATTTTTTGCGAATCTTTATCTAAAAATTACTTTCAATGTGTAATAATTGATAGAAACATCAATCAAGTTTACATTTAACTGGAATCTGTAATAAGTTTTGATAACTTTTTTTTTTTAAATAAAAATAATGGCTGTTAAGAAATTAGAGATTATAGAGGTGATGTTAAGCCGAAATTAGATTTATATCGGACGTGTATCGCTGCAATTCCCCGTCTTCTTCCTGACTCAATGGCTCATTCTGTACGTCATTGTGATTATTTATTAAGAGCACTTGAATTTGGATTTCATTTTCGTATTTAAATAATTATGCCATTGTCATAAACTGTTGTACTATTTTATTAGTAGTAACTTCGTTAGATGAGTGTTCTTAAAATCATGTTATTTTTTATTTCTCTCATAGGAAGTCAGTTTTTTTGGCGTTAAAAGCTAAAGAAGTACACTTGTTTTTGAGTTTTCAGGAACTTGTGGAATTATTAGTGCGAATGAACGTTCATATTGATGAAGAACTACAAGTACACGCCGCACAAACGCTACAAACACTTATGAGTGAATGTGCAGAGTGGCGTGAAGATATTATTCACTCTTTTCTCAATTACATGACTCATCAGTTTTCTGTAAGATTGGTTGAACTTCTTGAACTTTGCTACATGTAAAAGTTTTAGTTCTATTAATCTTTTCCTATCGTTGCGATTTTGGAAAATAGGTCTAAAAAGGTCTTTATATTATTTTAAAGTTTTTAATGCAATGATTAGAACAATCAGATTTTGACTGTGTCCTTTAATATATTTATCAGTTTTGACTCCTCAGAAAATTTTTGCAAAATCTCTGAGTTAAAAAGCTGTAAATTTTGAAACAGCTCGTGATTGGAAACTATGATTTATCAAATTACATAATTTTTCAGGACACATATCCGCTTTTATTAGATTCGTTTTTACGACTTTTGTATCAGCTATTATTTACCTGGAAAACAGCAGCGAATATGGAAAAGAAACGGGAAGTCGATGGTAATTTTGATCGGGACAGCAGTTTTTCAAATCCGTTAAGGTAAATTTTTCAAACAAATTGTAAAAAAATCTAATCACATTGGATATACTATTTTCTTTCATTTATGGTATCATTATTCAAAAGTTCATTATATGAAAAGCGGTAATTTAACTTATGCTTGACTTTAATTACTTTGATGTAGCGTACTGATTAATGGCATGGTGCAGATAAAAATTTCTGGAACTAGTTGCTATTTTAGAATGCAGATATCACCCATGTTGACCAATTCAGTTGCCATCGCTCTACATGCAGTAGAAGGTTTTGCTCTTGCTATGATGTGCCAGCATAGAACTCAGTCCAGGAAGCTAGCAATAAATATTTTGAAAGAGGTTGTTAAAGTTTATATAAGATTTCATCTAGTGCAATGAATAAAGTCAGTGCGAAAATTTACATTTCAAATTTTCAGGTGCGACATTTGCTAACGCTTGTTACATCACAGCAGCATGATACTCCCGTTATCGAAGTATTAGATAATGCGACATCATATGTAGTCAATAAATACATCGAGCATGTACCATTGTGTGAAAGGGTGAAATTTTATGTATATTATTGAATGTATCTTCATTTGATATTGATGTGAAAAATAATTTAAGTAAAAAAGAATATTGCTTGTGCATGTATTAATGCTAATTCATCGTTTATTGCAGCAGTCATGGAATCATGATTTTTCATCAGCGTCAGATAAAATAGCATCGATTGAAACAGACAGTTGCTTGGTAAGTTAATTTGTTAAAGAAGACAAAAAAGATACCTGATACAACAAAACATGATACATTGATACGAATAATTTCATAATATTAGCTCGTCAAGATTCACTTTAACGTAAGATTCGAACTAAATAAAAATCTAATTACATTTGAATTGTTTAGGACTTTTTTTTTCAGGTTAACAGTGATAAGGGTAATGAATATTTCCGATGGGATGCCTGGGCTTCAGCACTTTCTGGTTATTGTGAACATCGTTTCCTTTTAACTCAGTGTCCGACAGCTGTTTTCTATGCTTGGCCAGTTGTACAAATTCGATTGAACGCATGCGCTAATTTTGTAGATCCCAAGTCTGTGGTATTTTGAAAACATCAAAAATTATCCTTTTAATCTGATCATCTTCAGAAGTGTTTAATTTTTATATTGGACAAACAGGTCAGCACCTAGTGTATAAATCTAAAAAGCAAATCGAAATAAATTATTTGTGCAGGAAGTAAAATAGTGCAATTCAGAAAGCACATTTGACCACTGACAGCTTAGTTAGAAACAAATATGAGTCGGGTACGTACCTCACTTGTTTAAGCAGTTCGTGATGCATTTCGATTATTTATTTAACAAATTTTGAAATCCAGTTTATTAGTTTTCGTATTTTACAGAAAACAAATTTGTCTCATCACTTTAAAAATTATTTTGGAATCTCTCACATTTTACAAAAATTCGTTTGCAGTAATCCACAAAATGAGAATCGGGCATCGCTATTACGAACATCTAAAAGCAAGGCAACAGCCTCACCATTATGTGGCGAGTCTCTGGATCAGGATAGTTATTTGTCATTGTGGCAGAAATACTTGGTAATGGCTTGTGCGTTGACGCCGCCTCATAATGATTATGGGACCAGTTATAGTAGAGGGTTTTCACCCACTTCATCGTCAGTTTTATTTTTGTCAAGTTAATGTATAAAAATATTGTGATTAACCTTTCATTGTTGCATTTATGAATGAATTGCCATGGAATTTTGAAGACAAATTTTTTGAAGCATCAGTTGTGGAAATTTCTTGTTTTTTAGTAATTCACAAACATACACAGAAACATAAATTTTTGAGTTATTTTTCGAAGTATGTTTGTAGAATAGATAACGATGTTTTTCGCTCACTTGCATCATCTGTACGCGCCCCACGAACCTCTGCTGTTATCAATGCTACATTTTTTCAAAAAGCTGTAGCTATGTTACGATGGGAACATATGACTGACATGCGTGATAGTGTTGTATTGGGTGTTGGTTCAACAAATCCTGTAGCATTTGAGTAAGTACTCTCTAACTATTTCGAAACAAAATTATGTCATTGGATAATAATCCATTCGATACGAGTAAATGATCAAAGTCATTCAACATTTCCTTTAATCAATTTTTAGTGTTAGAATGCAATTATAGCATGGCTTGTTTCGAATATCCGTAAGTCTCTATCAAGTTCATCTCATGGGTGAAATGTATAGTCTCAAATTACAGCTTAGAAGATTTTCACTCATTCATTTCCGAAACAAAATAAATTTATTTATCCTTTCTAATAAAGTCAGTTTATTTTATTTGAGAGCTCTTCTCGATGAAATGAAAGGAATACTGCGAGAAGTAATGGATAGGAAAACAGATAACAACGCACGTAGAAAAAAGCGAAAAGACTTGTTACGATTACAAATTATAAGGATTCTTCAGGTTTTGTTTGTGATGTGACAGATTTTCTCTGCAAGTCTTAACAGCCTATTCCTGATTGCTTTATTAAAAAATGTCACCTTGAAAAAAACCATGGAAGAAATTATCGTTTAAACTGTAAGTCTTCAAAGCGTTAAGATATGGTGGTCAGATTGATAATTTCTTAAGGTTTCTGTATTTCGAGGAGTCCTTCAATGTTCTGGTTGCATTGACGTTGAAAGCGGTCTTTGTTCCGTTCTTGTTGAGTTTTTTGATTCAATGCGTCAAAGTTTAGAATCTGATCAGGTCAAGCTTATTATTTATCGCTTAGTCAAGCAATGCATTAATCAGGCTAAATCATTATTTTCTGTATTGAATTTGTTGGTATTTTAACTGAAAATTGTTCGAACTTTGTAATAAATAACTTTTATTTATTTATTTTTCTAGTTTTTTTTTAAATTCATGAACTCAATATTCAGGATCGCGATGTGTTGTTGCTAACGAACTTAAGATTGCATTTTGCTAAAACTGTGGCCATGATAATAAACAGTATTGCTCGTATGTTTTTTAAAGATTGATCTGTTTAAAGTTATGTTGCAATATCAAAATTAATGGTTTATAATATTTCAGCAGTAAAGCGATTATAAACATGTTTTTTATTTTTTTAGACGAAATTTGAAGGGAAATTTTTAATTTTCTAAATACCATGCATATTTGAACCTAATTGAAGTTACTGAGTGATGTTTAGAAATTAATTGTAATAAATTTATTAGTACTTGGTAGTTATCACTATTTTTTTCCAGCTGATAAGCGTCGGAACTTGTTGGGAAATAACTTGAAGCAAAACTTATTTTTCTTATTCACCTCATGGTGTAGCAGAAGCATAGCTTCATCTGATAAAAGGTTAATTTTTATTTTTTGTGTTTTGAAAAAATTATTGTTTGACAATGGATTTTATTATCTTCAAACTCTACATGTTCAGACGTGATGGAGATATTGGAACTTACGTTGAACAACGTGCAGTTGAAGCTATGTGTGCTTTATTATGTTGCGGGCCAATATTTGAACCAATTAAAGCTATTGGAGAAGACGGTTATTTGTATGGATGGCTTGAAGCTTTACTCGATTCAAATAATCCAGTGGTAAGATCTTTGGTATCATAAAAAAGTATCATTTTACTTATTTTTAAAAACCAATTTATAGGTGTACTTAAGTTTTGAAATCGATTGAAATTCTCTTGTGGTCAAAATTTTTTTCGCAGAATTATACAGAATAAGCTTTTGAAAATGATGACAAATACACAAAACCATGTAGTGTATGCAGGAAAGTGGTTAAAGATACTGTGATTTAAAGAATTTAATTACACATATTTGATTACCAATCTATGTTTGACTACAATTCGTTAGTAATGTAAGCACTTAATACGTTGAATTCATTTACATAAAAATAGAGATTAATTATAGCTTGAGAAATTAGTAGAATCAACTTTATGTACAATGCTTGATTTGAATGATGAAACATCACAACTTTTGGAATGGACAATCAATGTGTGTTACTCTAAACCCCCATTTGTTGCTGCGAAAAGTTTTCATTCATTGGTAATGCTTTTTTCTAGAAGGTATGCGTTCTTTCATATTCTACAGATTGAACTAATTTTTATTTCTTGACGCATTAAAAAGAGCCGTTATTATTTTTCAAAATTATTGACGCAAGCCAAACTTATAATGATTGTTGTTAAAAATGGTAACATTTACTGATTTTCGCGAGCTAATATATTCAAATTGTAACATGTTAATTGGTGCGGTAAACTGAAGAGATGCATGCTAAAAAAACGCTATACAGATTTACTTTTTTATTTAAATGTTTTGCAATTTTTTAACCAAAAAAAGAGTGTATCGATTGTTCTTCAACATTATTTTGTAGTTTTTGCATAGGAATTCTTAACCATTCAGGAGAAGAAATATTCCATCACTTAGAATATCCATTTTATGTTGTAAACATGGAAATCTTTCTTAAATACAATATACCATTTGTAGAGAATACCCTTGTGAGTTCGATTCGTTATTCGTCTTGTGTCAAATGTTAATAGCTGATAGCGATACACGTGTTTCTGAGCCAGCAGTGGAGTTGCTTCATCTTCTCCGTCGACAGTTTCTTGATGATTCACTTACTGTGCCTAATCTCACTAATTTCTGTAATTTTTCTTCAAGCCAAATTGAAATTTGTCGTTTATTGGCAAAAACGTATCCAAAAATAACCATGTCTGTTTTTTCAGGTACAATTTAAATAACTTGCTTTTAGTAAAAGTTTGTTATGATTCATCTTATTTCGTATTTTTCAAATTTTTATTTGATTTGTACTATGTAATGTTATGAATATGCATAGAAAATATGTTTTATTGAGTTTTTTAATCATTTCTGTAAAATCTAAATGTAGCAATTTCGTTGTGGATTTCATGGGAAAGAAATACAGGTGCGTAGTATTCTAAATTAAAATTGAATTAATTGAGAATAAAGCGTATTAAGTGAAGTTTATAATTTTTTTAGAAGTTTGTTTTCGTGTTGAAAATGGTAAATGCAATAGGCGAATAGCAATATTGTCTTTGCTTACCGCTTGGTTAGAAAATATTCAGTTTGTGGATCCTCATGTGAATCATGTAATACTTGAATAGTTTCCTAAAATTTGATTAATTCATCTTTTATTTCTTCAAAATTTATATCAAATTGGTTTAAAATTTGTAGAAAACCAGATATATGATAATGGTGCTATATTAGTAATAAAGCTTATTGAAGCATTTTTCAGGAAAGTAATATGAAGGACAGTGGTGGGATGAAGGCAGGATGGGGTTCAGCTGAAGCGACCCAACTTATATTGAACAATCTTCTTTATATAACTGTAATATTATCTGCCGAACATACGAAAGAAATTTCACTACTTTGGAATGCACTCGCTACTTCGCATCCTGGAAATTTGCGTATAATTGTCAATTATTTATTTGTGATGGTATCACTATCACCAGATATATTGCTGCCTCACGTATGTTATTTATTGAAGTTAATTTTCAAATGCTATTATGTTGTTAGCCTTTTTCTTTCGTTTAATATTATGCTCTAGAAAATATTTGAGCAAAATTTTTTCTTTATATTATAAAAATTATCACAGAATTGAAAATGTAAGGTCACTCACTGTATTTGAATATAATATTTAGACAAAACGTGTATGTTGTATGTTAATGGAATCAAGTGCATATAATTTGCTAAAAATTTTGATGGATCACATGGATTATGTGAATGAGCAGTTCAAGCCAGATTTGGAGCGTTGTGAGATGCCACCATTTTATCGGCTTCAAAAAAATGTAGGAGCAGGAGATGAAAAGCGCTCAGATTCAGACTTGAGTAACTCTAAAGAAGAATCTGATACCTCTGTCGTAGAATTGGTGCCAATTAGTCCAGTAAAGGTCCGATTTTTTTGACTTAAGTGTTTAATTCGGAACACAAAAAGAAAAAAAGTTACCTCAGGTATGCATCTCCAATGGTGTTATTTTTTTCGTTATTTCATTCAGATTGCATTACCCTCAGCTTTTTCCAGATCACTGCAGTAGAGGATACTACTAGTTTGATTCAAGACTTACCAATGCCTGCATATGGAGGGCACTATTCTATGTTATCATCTTTTCTACCTCCTACTACCCAACCTGTACTATTATTCACCAGGTTTCCTCATCAGCATTACAGTTATATCAAAATATTTTTATCTCAATTTTTTTTGGAGTTAAATTAATTAAAAATTCACTTTAAAATTATTATAATACTTTGCAGAAGATCTTCAACCATCTTTGCATTTTCGGTGTTGAATTTCGCACATATTCCTAAGTGTTAGTATATTTCAAAATATTTAACAAATGCCTTTAAATCCTAATTCCAGATTTCACTTCAAACTTTTCAGAAGTAATTTATCATTGCTCCATATCAGTGATTTGCTTCGGTGTACTTCGTCGATACAGTGGTGTGATTACTTACCACTCTTGTTACATATCGCTGTTCTGGGACTAGATTCATTGCGACCACCGATATGTCATCATGCAAGGCAGACTATCATCAATATTGTCTTACTGCATGCTGGAGAAATGGTTTCAGCATCTCAAATATCAAATATTTTACTTAACAATCAGGTTTCTGATTTTTTGTGTGTAGTGTGCAAATGGTCAGTTTTTATATCTGAAGAAAAAAAACAAGACATGAGAATTGCAAGTTGAAGGAATGAATGCATTTAACATTTCAGGAAATTTTTTTATTTATTCATACAAATTAGTGTGTGTTTATGCTGTCTGTTGAAAACTACAAGGAGAAGACTGTAAATACAGCTGTAAATCGAATTTAGAAAGGCACATTTTGGGAATTTCAATAAAATGTAATTATAAAAAAACAGCTGCCTCTTTATATATTTTCGAAATTTAGATAAATATAGTGGATCAAGTAGCTACTATATCAAGTACTGATGATAGTCGTACAGACATACCTCGAGGTGACACACCCACTTTTTCGAGAATGAAGTGCATCGAGTATGAACAGATGCTGCTCAATAGTAATTCGTCTTTCAGCGCATCGGATTTGGTTCAAGCAATTATATGTTGTTTGTCGGAAAAGTTAGCTTTATTCCGCGTTTTAAGGCATTGAGCGAGAAAAATTAATTTTTCCTTCAAAAACTGCAGTTGATAATGTAGTAGATGCTGTTTAATCTTTTCGTTAAATTTTGCATCTCAAGCTAGACAGATATAGGGGTTCATTGAAATTCCTATTAAAAATTGGCATACTGAAAATTTTAAAAAAACTATTTTTTGGTAATTACTATATTTAACTAGAAATTGAAATACGTAAAGTATTTCATTCATTTTAGGATGGATAAGCCTGTTTGGGCTAATGAAGACGTAACACCACGACAGTGGCGAATTGAAAGTGCATTACAACTTGGAAATATGGTTAATCATCTAACGGAACTTTTGGTTGAGACTATTCCAGGTTTAGCAACGACTTGGTTCCAGCTAGCAATGGGAATGGCATTGTCAATATCAAACCGGCATATTGCGGGTCGTTGCTTCCAGATAAGCTCAGCTCTCTGTCAGGTTCGTACCTCATTTTGTAAATATTTAGTATTATTGCTCCAGCATCAGTAATAACAAATTTTAATTAAGGCATGGTTTTCATGTTTTCAGTCACTGGCACCATGGATCCCAAATATTTTGTCACGTTTGGCAGAAACTGTTTGTGAACAGCATGAAGATACTCAGTCATACGTAACAGATATAATGCTTTGTCTCCAAACGGCTGCATCTCATTTGACTATGATGTCTCAGCCATCAAAAATTTCACAGTCACCCACTCATGCACGCTCCACGTCATATACTCCCGCGGTATTACGACAGACGGCAAATGTAGCTGCTGCTCCTTTGTCAACTCGTGAATGTATGGATAAATTCCACTTTATTATGAAGTTTAAAAAACTTGGTTTTGCTAAGTAAAGCAGGATTTCATTGCATTGAGTTTTTTCCAGTACCATTTGTGGATTAGATTTTCAAATATATACTGTCACATATAAAATCATCGGTTTATAGGCAAATCATACCTACATGTTTGGGACTTTTTAAAGTCTAGGAAATTCAACATATCATTGTTCTGTCCTGTTAAAATTTGATATTAAATTTTTGTACGCCATTCACCAACTATTACTTAGTGTTTGTTTGAAGCTTTAAAATTGAACATTATATTTTCAGGTCTGAGTGTTGTTTCTTGCGTGAATAGTAAGTGTTTTGGCATTAATAATTAATCACTTCAGATGCTCGACATTCAGTTTTGGTATGTGGTGACCGTGAAATTTTGTCAGGTTTAAGTCGCAGTAAAAGTACAACAGCTTTGAAAAGTGAGGATATGGTTGTTGGAGAAGAAGATTTCTCCACTCTTTCTCGACTACTACTTATAGCTGTGGCAATGCTTGAATCCAATTCAGATAACGAATATTTACTTGCTCTTCATTTATTAGATAAGGTTATTGTGTTTAATAATATACAAAATAAAATTATTTCCTTTTCTAATATACGATCAAGGATTTCCTCCGAAGAATGAAGGATTGGGTTCTAGTATATGAATATTATTTTTTATAATATGAGAAAGCTGGTAATTGTTTATTAGTAACGTTGAATTAAAGCACTGTAGCTTTTGAGTGAACGATTTGGTACTAGTCGTAAACAGCTTCTGCTAATTCGTCTGCGAGATTGATTTCCGATGGTTGTGAATAATGAATATATTATTTATCAGATATTTGATGCAACAACTTTTGATAAGTCGTTATGCTTACAACGTTTATCAAAGACAGTTTCACAGTTGGACTGGAAAAATTTCAATGGTATTATTGGCCTTATTATGAAAGGTGAATTTATTTTTAATTTTATAAATTTACAACTCATTTTCTATTTCATGTGAAATGCAAAAAATTTCATAAAGTTTCGGTGCATTTTCTGTTAAGGATTTTTTAATGATGAAAAAAACAAAATTAACCAATATTTTTCGATGCTTGCCAAGATACGGTGAAGGGATTCAATTATCTTCAATCTATATATGAATTAAAACTGAGTTGTCTGCATTTGATTTGATTTCTCTTAACATATTAACTCTAACAAATTTAGTACAGTTGAATTCAGTGATGTGAAGAAGTAAGCAAACAAACTTAGTGTTACTCCATTAATCTCAGTGTGAAGTGCATAAACTTTTAAGGAACAACGATACAAGCAAGCTATGAATTATCATTATCATTACTGTTAAAGTGTTTGGAAGTAATAGACGAACCAGCTATGGGACCGTGTAGTTTAATATCATTACTAATTACTTCATCCATGCCATTACTTATGCTTAATTTTGAGATACCAACATCACTCTGCGTATCGATCACTAAAAAATTGAATGAAGTATAGTTTTCTTTATCATTGTCCTTGTTTGAAGAAGTAATTGTTATTTTATACTGCAGCTTGGATTTCACAACAGCTATTCATCAGTAATTTTAACCTGTTTATTTTCTAATTTCATTGTCTTCATTGCAAACTAATTTTCCCCTGATTCTATTTTATTTCAGTTTCTGTCAGAGCGAATAACCGAGACAGAAGAACAATCGCTCGATAATCCTTTGTCACATTTATCAGCCGTTAGTCTAGAAATTAATTATTGAGTTGTACTCACATCTTGCTTGCATTTTCTTTTGCTTCTAATAAAGAAATTTGTGAATGCTTTCACTTCAGATGATGTACAAATATGCGGAGCGTTGTTTTCCGCGTGATCGTTTCCAGTGGGCAAAATGTGTTTTCAAATATATGCACGATGGCTTAGTACAAGATCATACTTTACCTTTCATTCTTCTGGCCGAGGTTAGTGATAGATATAGAATTTCATCACACATGTACTGAGTTGTTCATGAAAATATTTCGCCTCAGATGTGTGGTACAGATTTTAAATATGAACAAAGATTTTTTAGGCTTGCGCTTAATCGATTGAGTGTAGCATTCTAGGTTGAGTAAATTGGTTATTTAGTGCAAAAAAATCCTCAGAACATGTTGAATTTCAGTGGTTATATTTTAAATATGATCTTGATCGCTGAAATTTTCCTTTAGGTATTTATGATAATTAAAGAAAAGTTCGAAATAACAAAAATATGCAGATTTAAATCATGAAATGTTATTTCATCATTTTGCATAAATTAATTCATGACATTCCTTGTATAATCGCTTATTTAGTCAGTCAATCTTTTTTATATTTGCCCTGGTGTTTTATCTTATTACTCGCTTTATAAATAATATTTATTTATATAAGCCAGTGGATTAGTCAAATGGAGAGAAAAGACATCGACATGTATGATTTTTATAGTCGTACAGTTCAAAAGGTCGTTATATATAGTTGCTTATTTGATGTGATTTGCGTATCGTAGTACTCTTATGAAGGCTGAGGAATGGCTGTATTAGAATGAGCTTGTAATGAAATATAATGAGAGCAGTAACCAACAGATCATGATTATAAATGATTGTCATTTCATGTGCTCAGTTATTTTGATTACTGTCATAAAACAATTATTGTTAAGAATCAGAAGGAAAGATGAGAAATCGAGGTTATTCCGTTGATATAAGTGTTGTTCGTCAATATTATGAGCTTTCAGTTTCCTCTATAATTTTTATAGCTCATGAAAATTGGCAGTAATAAAGTGAGTATTGAGAATAATAGAACTTTTAATGTGAATAAAGGAGTATTAAAAACACAAATTAATCCTACATTTTGCAAAAGTAAATAACTGAAAAATCGTATTTACGTTTTTTTAGTGAGTGTGTATTTAGAAATAATTTATTGGACGTGGATTTTAAGTATTTTTTTGAATGAAATGACAAGATTTTGATTTTTTTGCAAGTACAGAATGCCTTAAAAAGACCATTAATGAGAGAGGAGTTCGATTTTAAATTATAACAAAATGTTTATGAAAACAGTTTTCGCATTATTTACTTAAACCAGAAATTGAGAACAATTTTTTTCATTTAAATATATATTTTATGATCTATAATGAAGTATTGCACCATAAATTCAATGTTAATCTGCAGAGCTTTTCAAAAACTTTGAAACCAACTCATTTGATGTGTGTATTAATTAATAACTTTCATAAGTTACTTTTAATTGGGAACAGTGTGTTGTACATTACAGATGCTGGAAAGAAGTGTAGCATCAATGCATCCGTATATACTTCACTGCATTTACCTTTTGGCTGGTACTGGGGATATATCACAGTGTTCACCTTTATCTCTCAATGCTCAAGTATGCTTTTTCACGTATTTTTTCTTGAATATATTTTTTCATCAAACATAACTGAAGTAAGAAAATACTATGAGATTGATCGAAAGTCAAGTACAGTGAACAGATTATTGAAATTACTATGAATAATAGTTAATTCAAATGAAACCAAAAACTGCAATCAGTATACTAATTTCAATTTCTAGTTCAATGTATTTTTGTTCTTTATAATTATTATGAACCAGTTTTTTATAATCGAATTTTCATTCGTATTTAGCTTAGCAAATTAGATTATAAGTACATTAATTAGTGCAAGTTGTGTTGAGTACGATTTCCTTCTAAAGTGACTAAATGCGAACTTATGAATATTTTTATACGAAATGTTGACGTGTAAATAACAAAAGATTCTACATGAAAACGTGTCAAAGACTGCTTTTTGTTTTACGATTTACTTATATAATATAACAAATAATTGTGAAGCTAGTGAACAGTTTTATCTCCACGTTAATTAGCAAGTAATAAATGACTATGCGATGATATGCGGTAAGGTCACGAATATTCTTAGATGTTTTATATTATTCAAAAATTCCCTCTGTCTGTTCCATTTCAGTATTTTATTTCCGCATCATTATTTTTCACAAATAGTTTAGGGTATTCTTCACTCAAATACTTGACGGATTTAAAGAGCTGTCGTCATTAAAGTAAATAATTGTTGTCCTTGCAAAATCTTTTCTCATAAATTGACGATTACAATCTATCCTTGAAAATTTTTTACCATCTTTTAAACTGTCAGTAGGCTGTGTTGCATAGGTACACCTGGTCATGTTTGCGTTTGTGTATATGTGTGTGCGTGTGTGTGATTTTCGACACCAATTAAAGATTTATCTCAACTATTAAATTTTGCACAACAATTTTAATGCTGTAAAAAGAAGAGATTTGAAAAGTTTCCTGCAATCATCGTCTTTGTCACCTTTTGTGCCTTTTATTTACCTCACAGGAATAATGGTTTCTAGTGAAGCGCCTGTCAGAGAATAAATCAATCTAGTCATTTAAAAAGCTCATGCAATAACTTTGTGAAAAGGAAAGAAGATGGATCAGACTTACCGTATTACTAAATTAGATCATGATAATACTAATAAAATAGGAAGTCTGCACGCAGATGGGTTATTTTTGAAAATATCCATTGCAATGATGTTTTATTCCAAAAAGCATAGTATTTATAACAATATTGGTTTGAATGCTCAATTGAAAGAGAGTCGTCACAGTTTAGTAATACATTTTCTGGAATATTTCAAATGCTTATAAAATTTATATTTTGAAGCATAAACAATTCAAAAAGCGAAATAGATTCTGCGAACAAAAATAATCACCTTGCAGTGTCATCTTTCTATTCTTTAAAGTTGTCAATTTCTTTAAAATTCATTACATTACTAGAGAAAAAGATTGACTTTTCAGGCATGTGAACAGCTGATAAAAAATATCTACTAGGAAATTGATTTTTCACCTAATTTTTCATCAAAATTAATCGTTCGTTTCCAGATTTAGTATTACTTGTGTATATCTATCTATCTATCTATCTATCTATCTATCTATCTATCTATATAGCTACTGGCATGTACACGCAGTTGTTTTAAACAAGTGATATTTTATAATTATCTCAATAGAGAATGCAGTTGACATGTGGTGCATTACTTGATTATACTTGCTGATATATTATTATTATTATTCTCGAATTATATTTAGTCAAGATTTTGCGGTCCAGTATAAAAAATAAAGTTCAACATATTATTTGATACAACTATTCAAATTATTATCACCATGACTACTGATTGGTTGATTAGCTTTAGGTAAAACTATATCATTACTGCAAATGAGAAGGAAAAAATTGCTCCTTCTACTTTTTTTCACAGCTTCTGTCTATAATTGAACAAATTAATTATAAAAATCATTCCTAGACATTCTTATTACATTATTTGATCTTTCAAATTTACGTATTCAAAACAAAAAGCACTATTTTGGATTACTGAAATAAGCTTTTTTTCAGGTCATACGAGTAGTATCCAAGCATGTACAGGTTAATTTCTTTGCACTCGCTTTCTTACCATTTCAGTTTAAATCTGTGCAGTGTTTGAATCTATTTTTAGAATTCATCTAAATTTTTGTTCGCTGTAATCTAAATTTGATGTTATCTTCTAATTAGAGTTAATAGAGTTCCATTATTAAATGTATTGAATCATAATATTTGTAGTAATTTGTGTTGCGCAAAATCTTTGCTTAAAGTTGTATTTAAAGTATACGAATGCTGTAATTCATTAAAGAAATTTTCAGGGACCAAACTGGAAAGAAGCTTCGAAGATTTTAAAGGCTTTTGTGCATTATGACAGTATTGCTATCGATGGCCATATTTCGGTATGACTCTCTTCACTTCATCTTGTTCAAATCTTTTTTTAAAAGTAGCACAGCACAGGGCATTTGCTTTTTTTGTTGTTTGGAATGTACTGCAGAATCATTCATTCATTAGAATTCACTAAAAAATAATATGCACTGACAGTAATTTTTCCTTCTTGATTATTATACTCCCCATTACAAAAAATTTCTTTATTCATATAGTGAGAATAGAATTTGAAATAAATTTTGACTAAAATGGAATACCATATTTCCTACATTTTTTTACTGTACTCTAATTATAAGAACATATGTATTTGTATTTGTTTCTGATTATTCCATCTTTTCTTCTTGCTTTGGCATTGTTGTATGTTAGGTTCATCAAGTTGTTGCAGTTTATATTTCATATTGAAATATTGAGGTTGCTATCAGTGGAAATATTTTTATCTTTAAAAATTTTTCAGGATGAACCAGAAGCAGATGAGGTTGCGCGACCAGAAGGGCTTCAGTTGGAAGTCCCTCTTCGAGGTGTGTTATCTTCAGTAGCGCACAGAAGTATACCCGAAACATCATCACTTCGTAAACAAGTTAGCTTAATACACTTTTTACAAATGTTAATTTGAAGCATCTTGCATGCATTTTGCAGTGTAAAATGTTTTGTGTGGCCAAAATAATATTTCTTTCCTACATTTCATTTTTCAGATCATTTTGAATTGAAAATGTCTTTGACTTATAGACCAAAGTAAAGGAACGTTTGATCAGTTTACTGAATGCTTCGGGACTTCGTATTGGCTTACCAAAAAGTACTTCTATAATTTTTTCGCAGTCTTTGCATGATGTTTCATGTAAACCAACAAATTCTAATTCCACTTCAACAGAAAAAATATCACTCTCACATGCTGGGGATGTTGAATCGGCTTCGTCACTTGTAGCAGATCCGTCGGTTACTGATTCTTTTCCTCGAGTATTCCGGTAATTAGATTTTCGTTGTCTAAATTTTCAGTATAAAATTTAGTTCTGATTGTGGAAAAATAGTGATCTATTAATATTTGCTCTTCAGAGAATTCGATTTTCTGGAAACAGAGCATGATACGTTATCGGAATCAACAGAATCTTGTTTCAATTGGCTTTCAACAATGCGTCCACGCTCTATAAGCAAAGTTGATATTGATGTTGAGGAGCAGTATCAAGATGATGAGTGCACCGAAATAGTGGAAAACCTTCGTCCAAGCTCAGCAGGTACTACTGCAAAATATGTCTTTTTTCTTGAAATTTTTTTTCACAGAGAATTAAAATACTAAATATAAAGTCACAAAAAAAATCATGTGCTTATGAGTCATTATTGTAGCTTCTGATTCACTCGAAGTGTCAAGTGAACGGACACCGCTTCAGTCAGGAGCTCGTAGCGAAACAGTTTCTGAAGACGAAAGTTGCGACGAAGAATTAGAAGAGGATGAATTTGTGGTTGATGACGAGAAACTTCGGTTACTTTATTTCAGTGACCTAGTTTTCTTGAAGTTTGATTTTTTTTGAATTTCTTTGATTTACTGCAATCAACCAGAAATAAAAGTTTCAGTGTAGCTGATGTATCGTCTTTGGCAGAATCTATACGTTGTAGCCATTCAGCTGTTTCAGAGAAATCTCCAGCAGCACCATTACTTCCATTGTTTTTACAATGTATTCATCACGCCTCAGCTCAAGTAAATTCTGTTTCTATAAAACTTTGCAACTTATGTGTAGATCAGTTATTACTGACATTCTTCATAAATTTCTATGATGAACAATCAGTTTGTACATTGGATCCTTAGTTCAATCTTTTCAGTGTGCAAAGTATTAAATTGTACATGCATATCATTTATTTTTTGATGATTATTGGTATCATGTATAACAGATGATAAAGTTTTCCGTCAGTATGATCTAATTAGTTGAAGTCATTTTCAAGATCAGCATCAGCTTTGTGGCAATAAATTATTTTAGTACTCTACAACAAAATTTTGTTTGATTTTTGATTACGTCTATGAAATTTTCAAGGGTGAACATCAGTGGCTTTCAAGCTTCATGGACATGAGTGCTGATGAAACTGGCAATCTGACAGCGCACGTAACTTTACTTTTCAGTCAGTTATATCGCGTAAGCTGTCTGATATTTTTTCAAAGTAACAAAGTAAATACAATATATCCAATTTTTCCCGTGCAAAAATTTGCTGTTAATATGGATTGGATTGCAGAGTAGAAATTATGATTCTAATTACATATTTATAAAGATTTTATTTTCAGATAAAGTTTAATATTTTTCATTAATAAGTGAACTTATGAAATGTGATTGTAATTATCGCAAATTTTTTATTATGGATCCCTCTATTAAAATTATGGCTGGATAAGGAAATGGAAAAAGAAGGCATGAAACGAATATTTAAAACTTTTAATCTGCTATATAATTTCTCGGTATATCACATTACAAAATAGTAATAAGAGATATACTCTGTCATTTCCATTTACTTAGTGGTGTTAAGCAAACAAAACAAATAATCTTAGGAGAGAGTTGTGGCAAATTGCTTGACTTTATTCATCTCAAACGTCCGATATCACTTTCATTGTTCCATTAATTCTAACGAATAAGTTAAGCAAATATGGTAGTACTTACTTATTCTTATATTACACTGCTAATGCTACCAGAAAAGGTATAATCGTATCAGGCGTTAACTGATTTTATTTAATTTGAGCATACTGTGATCAAACCGTAAAAGAATGATACTAAGAGTAAAATTTAAAGTTATTTTGGGAATTCATATCAAAGCCAAAATAGCAATGATAAAACACCATTAATTAGAAAATATTAGCATGTTTAGAAGTTCAGAATTCTCTTATAAGATTAAAACTTTTTTGACAGGAGTGTTGCTTGAAACTATCTGTTATATTACGGGACGCATCTCAAGTACTTTCGTTATCACATCGGGATATTTCTGCTCAGTTCAGCGATGCGTTGGATCTCGTGCTAAAAATATCTGATTGTCCATTTCTGTTCGTTACTGCGCAACATGTATGTAATGACATTTTTCAAATCCAAAATTAATATATAAGTGATCACAAAATGAATTCATACAGAGCTGTGAGGAGTAAAAATTTTTAAATCTATATGTAAAGGAAGTATCCAGTTAATATATCACATCTTTTCTTTTTTATAATCTTTTTTTCATCTGCTACTTATATTTTTTTATTCAGTAGTTGCAGAGGTTTTTATGAGTCTTTTTTTCAAAATCTGAGGTTTTGCTATTGGTGGCTAAATTTTCGACAATGAAATTTATAAAACTTTATATGTGGTCCCTATTTTTCTTCTATTTGCAATCTCATATCTTACAAATTGTCCTCATTATATGAGAAGCGTTAACTATGCCTTGCTACATAACCATATGTAAAAAAGCAATCTGTTGATGATTAATAGTTAAGGGATAAGACGAAAAAGTGGTGCTGCTTATTAATCAAGATGAAATTTGAATCTAACCATACTGCACCTTGCATTTTAACACCAAAGTATTCATGCATACTTCAGTTGCGCAAACATCAAATACCGTTATTCATATGTAGAAGAAGAGCTTACCGCGATTATGTTACTAGCTATTATCACATTGCATAGATTACTTTATATAATATTACTGGATATTTAAGAAGTAAAACATTTTCAAATTTTTGCTATCCCAATCCACCTTGTAGATATTAGGTCAGGTTCATATTTCACGCTGGAGTTTGTTACGCAATAAAAGCAATTGTTGGTATAAGGAAAAACTTAAGTAAGCTTTCGAAAAGTTAAGTTCACAAAGAAATGCAGTTAAAGTTAAACAAAATACAATATTTGAGTAAATTTACGTGAAGGGTCTAAAATTCATTAAAATATGTGTATTTTTTTGCATCAATTATTACAAAAATTATTGCAATTTCAAGTAAATACGTGTTTTTAGCATGTATTTTTTGTTGTTTCATTCGATAATATTAATCAGCGATCAAGTAATAAGGAAAAGAAAAAAATATGCATGAAAATTTTTGTCCTTAATACAAATATGATATATATATATATCATATTTGTATTATTATTAGCACTTTTAAATTATACTTTTGTGATAATAAGTGATATTTTGCAGCTACGTATTAGTGAAACATTGTCGGAGCAGAAATGCGTTTTACTAGAACTGCATGAGCATTACGAGACATTCGTGGAACGGAAAGAGCAATGCATTCGAGTAAGTATCAAAAATGTTTGCAAATAATTTATTTCTGAATTGATAAACTTCTTCAAACTCCTGAACTGATCCTAAGTTATCTGAAATATAACTGTTTGGCTGCATTATAAAAATATCAGAACATATGTTGAATATCGTATTCTCTTTGTCGCTAGTCATTTTGCTTGTTTTCTGATTAATATTAGCTAATAACAAATACATGAACAAATCATTTAGTTCTGATTCTGTTTTCCATCTTTATTTGTTTTATTTTCATTACACTAAATTGTACAAAAAGATTGATAAATCTCTATCATAAAACCATTATGTGTGAGATGACGTAAACATTGTGTGTGAAATTTTGAACCTTACAAATTTTTCAGTTGAAAACAGTCTAGTAAAGGAATTGTAAGAAAATAAACTTCTTAAAGTTGCTTAGTTTTTCTATAAGTCTATAAACTTGAAATCGGTCAGGTAGCAAAAAACTGATTGCTATGAGTAAAAGATTCGTTTTTTGAAGTTTTTTAAAACGATTTAAAGTTTCTTTAAATAGACTTTTTTATCTTCGGTATTAATTGCATTTTTTGATTGAATTAATATGATTATTAGTTTTCTACTACAATACTTTATCAATTTATAGGATTCAAAATACAAAGTTATTTATGTTTTTCCTTCATAGAGTAATTTTTGTTTAGTTGATCTTTTTCGAATGCTAAGTGTTTAAGCATTGAAATAATAAAGTGTACAAAAATAAATACTATTTATGACAATATAAATGAATGGAATAACTCTGCTTATGAGTAAAGCAAGGACAGCATTGTCATGAACAATGTATTTTAGTCCCATTATTGTTTGCTTTACCAAGTATATTCTTGTTGCGTGGTAATTAGTGAAAATCTATCATTTTAGTGCTTTATTTACTAAAATATTTGGTTATGGATTGCGTCGTATATTTCTGGTCTCTTTTAGCTGAATTATGGATGAAATTGAGCGGAAACAGTAAATTCACATTTCAGACTCGAAAGCAATTTGTCTTCTTTTGATAACGTCGTTTGCTTCTTGTTTTTCAATTGCCAGTAGAAGTAATTCATAATTATATATTTCACGAAGAGAAATAAGCAGTCAAAAAGGCATGGTTCAGAAGAATAAAGAATTAACCTTTAAAGCCTTACTATTGAAATTTGTATACGACAAATATAATTTTTGCAATTCATTAGAGAGTAACCACTCCATCAAATGATTGCCTATTATGTACAGATAGTTTACTTCTGATTCTGGGAATGTGTATGTATTAGAAATCAGTCAGGATTGCAAATGGTTATATTTTTATTAACAGTGCTTGATACTGTAAATTTCAGGCTTTGAATGCAATAAAAGCGACAATGAAATTAGCTTTAATTGGTGGATCATCATCATCAGTTAGTTCAAATCAGGTTTGTGCTAATTCTTTCACTCATCTTCTCTACTTTGTTAAATTCACGTCTTTTTCAGTTATAAAACTTTTTGGATAAAAAATAGTTTATTGCAGTACTTGGAATTATGCCGATCTGTGCATAAGTTATTTTTCCAGCTCTTATTAATCACTGATAAATTTGATTCTATGATAAAAGGTATTGCGAATGCTTCTGATGTTAAGGTAATTGATTTAAGCTTAATTCTTTCATAAACTTTTAATATTGTAACAGCAATATTTGTATGTTAAACTTTGTCTTTATTTTATTTTTCTTCAATTAGCATGTGTGAAACGATAATAAAGGTCATTCTTAATAATTTTTTCGTGAGCTGTTGACTACCTGAAAGCTTTAGTTGTTGATCATAGTTTTAGTTGTGGATCACTGTGAATATTTGTCATTTTTTTCCTGCTAGATCAATGTGTTTATTTTAGAAGCTTGCTTTGTAGTAGAATACACTGCATGTGGACTACTTTAACCTTTCATAGACTCAGTAAAGATAAATATATCAAGGGTGAGCATAATGAATGAGTAGTATCCATCATATTTATTATTGTCCTTTCTTGATCGAATGAAGATTGATGAAAAGCAAACGAATAATTACTCGTCGTATACATATTTCAGCTCTGTTAAACTTTAATTTTTTAACAGCAGAAGTCTGTTAAATATTGATGATAATGCAAAGTAGATATGATATTCGCTACCATTATCGCTATATATTTGCAAAATTTAGCTCTATTAGAAAAATCTACATTTCTTGACAGTAATACATTCTAATACTAGTGGTACACTGTATTGAAAGTAAGCTAGTAATAATAAGGAATATATAATATAAATATGCATACTTGCATTTATGTTTTATGGTTTCAAAAAGAGGTGAAACTTCGATAATGGTTTAGATTTAATTATTAATTTTTAACTATAGTATTGATCTAAACATTAGTTCTTATAATTGTCGGTATATAGTGATAGCTTTATTTGAAATAGAATTGGGAAGATCATTGTACTGTAAAAAAGTATTAGTGTATATTATATAAGTTATTTTACAAGTGTTGCACTTTGACTGAATGGGATCGAGTGAATCAATCCGTATATAACTTAAAAAATTACCATTACATAGGTATAGGTAAATTTTGATAGATTAAAATATTGCATGCAGTAATTTGATGATATAGTAACAGTAGATTTTTTTTCTTAGTTAAATTTTAGATCAAAATCATTCATAATATTAAGTAAAAAATGTACAAAGTACATGAATTCAGGATACTGATATGTCTTCCGAAGTGTTATGCTTGCATCGGTGTTTACTGGCGAGTATTCCAGATTCGGTTCACAACATGGAAAAAAGTATTTCTAGTGTTACTCTAGAATCTAATATGGATACTTTACTAGTATTACTACAAAAAAAACAGTACAAAAATGCTCTACACATACTTCGGCAACTCAGGTACTGCTTTAAATTTCTCATCAGTTTTATCTGTTTTAATAGAAAAACAGGCTGAAAAATAAAAATACTTCCCAACTATCTATTGATTACTTTTCAAATTCAGTAACAAGTTTTACGTTTACGTGCAACTAATTAGTTGCCTAAAGTGTTGGACTGTAAACAGTGTCTTAATTTTTTTTCTGCTAGATGTTATTTTATTATCTATGCAAATAACTAATATTTCTTGGTTTTAATTAGAATATTTTATAACGAGACTGCAATTAAAATTTTTATTCTTAATAATATAGAAATAAGAGTGTAAAATAGACATTGGAATTACTAAAATACATTAAATAACAACTACCAAATCCTTCATTCAATGGGATTTAAGATTTTAAAACTCCTAAATACTAAAATAATAAATATTTTTTGGATAACTATTATTCCATGTACTATTTCTGTTTTCATTTCTAACAAGAGATATTAAGATGTGATGTGATATTTTGTATGAAAGCAACCGCAGCAAGAATTATTATTTAAATTTGATTGTAAAATTGGTGTATTACTTGCATAGCTTTTTGTATAATATGCGAGAGGATAGACTGTCAGTCAATTATGAAAATATGATTTTGTTTTATTTTACAGTCAAGTTTTGAGAAAGATTTTAGGAAGGAATATGGTTTTTTGGTTTTGAGATGTGGAAGCAGTAGAAGTTTCTATTAGAGAAACACATGAATTACCTTGAGAAGAGTTGTTCCCTTAAAATTTTGAATGAGATCTTTTCATTTCTTTTTAGGAGGAAAAATTTTGATGTAAAGTTTCAAAGAGAGACAAAGAATGAGTGAAAATAAAAGTCAATTCTGAACGTTTTTACTTTCGGCTATTCTACTGACGAAGATGGCTGTGGTGATTATTTTGTCATGAATAAAGTGAAGATGTTTATGATAAAATCTCACCAACGACCTCGCATAAGTCTTGTAGAACTTGTTGTAGCAGCAGATGTTGATGAATGCAAAAGAATAAATGATTGAGCGAATATATCGAAATTTTTGCATACTTCTCAAGCCATCAAGGAGCCAATCTATCCTCTCGCGTATTATACTCTTTAGATTATTATTCTTTTACAACTAGCTACTTTGATTTTTATGAGTTTTAAGTAGCCAGTATTGACATTATACGATTCAGCGTAAATTTATAAATTTAGTGAGATATGCAGTTACAGAAAAACTTCTTTTTACATTATGCAAAAAAACAAAAGAAAGATTGTTGAACTGTATTTGTTAATTTTTTGATTCTTTCATTATGCGTCCATATTTTTTAGTAAATAAAACTTATAACAGTAATCAAATATCCTTAAAATATGAAATAGACCAGAAAAAATCATCTTATGGCATAAAAACTACGGTATAATGGAAGAAAAATTAAGAGAAATAGTGTTAGGTAATGGAATCTGAATTTGATTGCTCGGTGAATTAATAATTCATATGTTTTTCATCCATTTCATTCATCTCAGGAAGAATTTTTAATTTCCATATAAAAAATGATCCTTTTGAGCATTATTCATTTGAATTTTTTTTAATTGTCAAATTTTTAATTGTGAACTGGTAATTTCGCTTGCAATTTGGGTACCTATCATGCAAGGGTTTGCCGAGATATTATTATTATCATAATTATTCCCTTGACAATGAAGGCTGACTTCTTTTTTAAGAAAGACCGTTAAATATAACACACAAGTTACTACGATAGGTTTATGGTAGATTAGGAAGCGTATGAGGGTAATATGATTGGGTGATAAATATATGCATATGTATATATGTATATGCATGCATGCATACAAATAATTTAGTTTCTATGGCAATTAATGATCTTAAGTGTATCGGGAAAGATTTGAAGGTGAAGAATGGTAGAAACGATAAAAATCAGCATATGGCGCCATAGGTTAAAGATAAACGATTGTCGATAGAATGCGTAGAAGACATGTTTAAATTAATTAATTTGTTCAACACTCAGTATAAAAGCATATCTAATAATTTGATGATAGTTAATGACAACAGGTGTTTTGTATATAATGCAATATTTCAGCTCAATTTGAGAGCATTGATCATATTCTACAGACATCAGTCTAGAGGATATTTACAAAAACACGCACTATTAAGTGAAATGTTAAAAGCAGAGATTTTTTATTTGCTAACTTTAATTAATTAATTAATTGATAGAACAAGGAAATGAATTTTGCAGTCTGATTTGGTACTGTTTTCTTCGCTCATAGTATGACTGTAGCAATCAAGTCAATTAACACGTGGAATAAATTAAAGTCTGGCAAACATTTTAAAGTTTTAGTTTGAATTAAATGGAAAAATGATAACTAATTATAGTAAAGTAAGTGTTATGTGTTAGATTAGTACAATTAAACTAAAGTTTGTTTTTATTGCCATTGTGATGGAGGATAATTGTGTATAAAAATATGTATACTTTGAGAAAGATAGACTTTTGATAAAATTTAAAATATTTTAAATTTGAAATATTATCTTTACTCTTTCCCTAAATTTTTTGTACGCTCTTTTCTTTGCATGTTAAGTTGTAACCAACTGGTGTAAAGAAAAAGTGAAAGTAGCAAAACCACAAACACTTTCTTATACTCATTTAGAACAGATGTTAATCCATTCTTATCATTATCGGTTAACAACTGACATCGAATTCTCATCAGAAGTGTTGATGGAAAGCTTTGAGAGAAAATGCCATGTATTCATGAACTTTTTTCTTTTTTCGAAAAGAATTTTTGTTTTACATTATCCTGAAGTGTTGATTGATTGACTCACAATACTTGTAGGTTTTACCAGCTTTTTCATTTTTTAACGAAAAGTTTTCACTTTTCAGCAGTTTTTTGACATTTTCAAAAGAAATTTGCAATAAAAACAATGGTAATCAGAATTAAATTGATGATTATCAGAGTAATTCTGCAACTATTCAAAAGATCAAACGAATCAACAGTTCATTACAATAAGGATGAACAGTTTAGTAGTCTCAAGTATTGTATCAAAAAGTTGCATATACACTGTAAAAGCATTCAGTTAGAAAAGCTAAATGTGCATATAGTAATTGGAGTTACAAAAGCGCACAACGTGGCCATGAATTGTGTTTGATTGAATAATCTCATTTGACTTTAGACTTGATTACAGCGGTCGTTGTAAATCATTTTAATCTTACTTTACTTACTAGATGATAATTATAGTTTGGCTTTGTATTTTACGTATTCATTATTTATTTTATTATATTAGAAGTAAAAAAATCCATTAAGAAAATGTTTTATAATACACAATTATTATTATCATTTAAATTTAATATAAGTTTCGTTGCATGCGAGTATTTCAATTAAATTCTGTCTTAATTTGCGCTACACATAGCAATATTTGAGCTTAATTTTTTTGTGAATTTGCTTTCGAAATTCAGAAGTGCTAAAATGTATTTTTATTTCTATTTAAGTTACTTGCCTTATCTTTTAAGTAATTTTAAGGCACACTTTTTCAAATTATAGCGAAATTTTCACAATTGCTAAATGTTTGAGTGAAGAAGAGTGAATAGAAGTAGAAAATCTCCTTTATTTTTTATCGCTAAATTTTTAAAATTTAGTAAAATCAGAAATGAAATGAATATTTTCATTTTATGAAGCCTTGCTAGTATGTTCATGCTGGAGTGAATAGCTTTTATTACTTTTTTGCTACTTATTTTGTTTGTTTGTTTATTTTTAGTATTGTTAAACAGCTTTTAAAAAACGAAAGAATCACAGAATGAAAGCAGCGTTCTTTCTTTCAGTGATGTATGAAGTGCTTCCAAACATTTTCTAGTTTTTTCGTACCATCTCTTTTACTTCTTCAATCATTTTGTGATTCATTTGAAGTAAACTAAGCTGTTCATTTATTCTATACTCATATTTTTTGTTATTAGTTTCAAAGTTATTAAGAATTTTTATGCAAGCAATATTGATATTGCATTCAACTAATTACATACAGCTTAAAATAAATTTCTCTTTAGGTAATTTATACAACTATTTATATATTTCCATAAATAGTATTTTGTTTTTAGTATTTAACGATTATGAATGCTTTTATGTAATTTAAATTTTTGTATTTTACGTTCAAAATAGTGTTCAGTAATCGGCGATATCCTACTTTCTTATTTCTAAAATTAGTTTATTGCACTAAAATTGAAAACAGTGAAGCAAAAAGAACTTGTTGATGACGTATTTTAGTTATGATTTACTGATTGTTTATGTAAGTGTAGCTAAAGTTTGGTTTTTAATCAGTTAGACTGAGAGTCTGCTGTTGCTCAACACTGCACCTATAATACATCACATTGTATGAACAACATTTAGCGTAAAGTACCGGAAAGTGGATGAAAAATTATAAAGAAAGAGCTATGAGCAATTCATATTTGCTGAATCAGAAAGCAAAAGGTAAATGGATAAGAAATTATCAAAAGCAGCTTAGAAGAAAGCAGCTAAAGCTTTTTTATCTTCTGATAATTGCATGCATTTTTTGGAAAATAAAGTGAGCAGAAAAGGTATGAATGTGATGATTGATGTGAGGAAATTATAATTTCTTGCTTCTAAATTGATAAAAGTTAAGATATAGAAGAACAAGCAGTAGCAATAAGTCATAAATTAAAGCAAAAGCAGAAGCAGAAGCAACGAGATATTTATTATCTTAGCTTTGACAATTGTTTCGGAGGAAAAAATTAAGCTTTTAAGTGTAATTTTACCAAAGAAATTGCTCTTTTGCATTACTTCAAATTTAATTTATGACTTTCCATTTTTTTTTTTGGGACTTTTTTAATATGAAAATATGAAAGATTATATGTATTGTGTCTAAATTGTGCTTGAAAATAATTTGCTAATTTAAATTTGAATGGTAGAATACTGGATTCAATTGATTAGGTTGAAAATTGAATTCATTATGTTATATGTATAAAAGTTAAATGTGCTTATATTTGAACAATAATATTGACAATTTTTTTTGAAATATTCTGCTAATATGGATGAAATAAGTTTGCAGACAACAGTTTGGCTCAGAATATGGTTGTTGTGATCAGGTAGACGTGGAAGTGTTGCTATTGGCGTATTGTCGAAGTCATCAAGGTTCTTGTTGGGCCGTTATAGGAAGTGATCAAGCTCTAACCCATAGCTGCAATCAGTTACGACAGAGTAATATGTTAATGGCGGCTATTGTACGATCACTTGCACCTGAAGCATTAAATGCTAGATCATCACGGGTTTCTAGTGCATCTGAATCTTATAAATCATGACCTATTGCTGTCATGCTTTTGCATTTGCTGCTTTTCATTCATCTAGAATCTACGAACTTAGGATTCTTTATGTGAAAACATGAATGAATTTTAAGGAATGGCTGAAAACCCTAGTGGTAGTGCTCATTGTGCATACTTTTAATAAATATATTTACTTTTTTCCAAAATTGAGATATCCTTATTATAACTGCATGAAATTTTATACATTTTTAAATTAATTATGATAAAAAATTCTGTGAGTTCCAAGCTATAATTAAGATATTATTTTTGTGATATCTATTTAGACTTGTTTTCTTCGATAATTATCGTGTTACCTGAAATTCGGGAATATTATTTTCAATAAATGTAACTTACAGTACTTCTGTAAAAGCCAGTGTGATTTGGGGTAAAGGATAAATGTCAAGTGTAAGTGATTGAAATACTGATTCAATCAATTTTGGTTATCAGTTTATGCATTGTGTTGTACGTAAGTGTATAGCTTGTCTGACTTTATGCATTCATGTCCGGTTAATTTTTACAAAAGCTTGTAATGTATTTTTTATATTGGCATAAAGTAATAAATGAATTATATTTGCTTATTTTACAATTTCTACAATCTTAAGTGAAGCTACCATATTAGATATAAGTTGAAATAATAGGATAGTATCATTCTTTATCGTTGGTGTTGTTATGAGTGTATGGTTATTATAAAAGCCATTAATTTTTAGTTATGGATATACATCAAAGAAAACGCATTAAGAATTCCACCATATGATATGATACGGTAGTAAAAATATTCAAGTTTTCCCATGTTGGGAATAATATATTACATGGTGTATTGATATGTGAAAAATGTAGCAAGGGGGCAGATTGATTTGGGTGAATGAATTGGGATAGAGTGAAGGTAGATAGATGCGAAGTCCGCAATGTGTTAATACTAAGTGATTTCAAGAGTATTAAGGTGAACGTAAGTTGCAAGTATATTTACGTATAAAATTTCAGAATCAATATTCAAGTAATAATATTTATGTATAAAAAAGTTACATATATGAGATAGAAAGCAAGTATAAAAGAAGGCGTCATTGTTAGAATGCTTTGAAATGGTGTCATCTTCTATGCTAATTATTATCTAAAAAGAAACGAAAGGCTATTTTGGTTGAAAGGTAACTTTAATTATTCAATTATATCTTTGTTGTTGTTTTTCTTCAAAGGCAAAATAGTCATCATATATTGTTGGTGGTGAATAATTATCGCTGCAATATCACCTGGCTGATTGATGATGTTGATTTACTATTCTCAAATGATTGTTAGCAAGAAAAATATTCTTGTCATTTATTATTATTATTATTATTATTATTGTTATTAATTTGTAAGTTTATTTTGTATGACAGCATTTATTGTTTCACATATTTATAGATAAGAGTAGAAAATTGGCGTTTATTATGAATAAATGATAATGACTACTTAATTGTTTAAATACATGTTTGTGATATTCATTTCTTTGGTTAGGATAGTAATTCATGGTTTGTGCATCACTACAACTATTCATTCAATGCTATAATATTGTAGCAAATATTCTCATCTCTAAAATATGCATATTTGCATAATTTACTAAAAAATATAAATGACAAAAACTTTTTTCTTCATTACGTAATAAGCTAACTTTAAGTGATCAAAATTACTGTGACTTTTTTATTTTTTTATTTTATAAATTGTAATAAAAAGTTTTAAGAATTCATTCATACATAAAATTATTATAAAGTCTTTATAGTTGCCATTTTTGTCATGCATTGAAATTTACCACATTAACTAAATACTTGTAAATACAAGTTAGCTGTTAGTATCTCTTACTGAGGTATATTATTACCAGTGTATAAAAGAGTATATACCGCCAGCTATTCTTACTGATATCTGATATCTTTGGTAGTTATATTGCATCTTCTTTTATGTATGAACAAATTTACATACTTTAAGTATTTCGAGCATAATTACTTGAAAAAGTGTAGAATTCACTAACCTTTGTAATTTATGTATGCATACGTGTAGTTACAAATTAGTTTACTTATTTATTTACTTGTATGCTTGCATATAAATTTTAAATATGTATGCACTTCACTTCTTAGTATTTGAAAATTTGGTGTACAATAATATTTCAAGAATAAGTAAACAAATTTTTAGAAGCGACCGAACAATTAGATCAAAAGATTAAGATTTAATCTATTATTGATGCTGCCACTTTAAACGTATGTAAAGTTGAAACTTGATATTAAGTACTTCTTAAAAATATCTTCTACATTACTTGTTTATGCTTGTACTAATAAATATATGCATAAGTATATCATTATTGTATCTTATAAAAGTTGCAAAAATTTGTTTGTATTTATGAGTACTAGCATAGTTATTAGTATATTATTAATGAAAGAAAATTAAATAATTGAAATTACTAAATTTCATCTAAATTCGATATTACTGAAATATATTTAAAAAATATTGCAACTTTATTGTCAGTGCATTATTAGTCGGATAGTTCCCCACTGCTGATGATATCAGCTATACAAATGTATAATAATTTGCGTAAGTAATCAAAAAAGTTATCATTTGTCGCAATGTGAATTTCAGTTTTATTAACAAACTTAAAATTGAAGTAAAGAAAAAAATAAAAACAAAGACATTTCATATACATTTAAATTGTACTTTCATATTTTTCTAATTAATTATTTATTTTATACATTTAAATACACGAATGCATATAAATAAATACATACATGCACATAAAATACACTGCAATATAATGATAAAAAATAAAGCCATGTGAGCATTTTACTTTATTTCAAACAACAATTATAAATAAAATATAACTTTGTCCTTTTCTATCATCTACATAATTTTTTGCAATTTACGACTAGCATCTACCAATTTATTTCTGCGAACCAAAAATGTAATGAACAAAGAAAATTAGCATAACAGGTTAAAGTTCGTATTGTTTAACTTGACCAGTTCGTACAATAATTAATATGGTAAAAGCTATTTAATAAATTATAAGTTTACATATCTGCTTCTTCAGTAATTATGAGTGCTATCAGACTTTCTATTGCTATATTGTAATTTTTTTGTCTCATATTTGTTAAGTTAAATAATGTCGATTTTGTATCTCTACTTACTTCACTTCACTTTGGTTTCAGAAAGTGATAACTTCTTTGTAAATTTGAAATACCATCCAAATAGTAATATATAAATAATTATGATATATAATATTAATAAAATTGAAAAAAAACGAAAACACTAGAAGAACACATTGTGAATATTAAGCAAGGAGATCAGATACATCGAATCCTCCCTTTTTTGGAATTGCTGTTGTTTGCTTTCCTGTTGAAGATTGTGGTAATATTTGTTGCTGTGTTCCATTAATACTTGAGGATACGTTAGAGTTTGATAAGATGGCATTTGTAGAAACTACCGTAGACTGGCTTGTAGTTGAATTCGTAGACGTTGTAATGGAAAGCGTTGGAACCGTTAATGATGGCCGCAAGAAATAAGGTGAAAATTGTGCTGCAGCAGCTGCAGCTGCAGCGTGATGTATAAAAAAATCACGTGGAATTGAAGTTGCATGAGTAGGAAAAAAGAATTCAGTAGCTGTAGAAACAGGATGAAAACTATAACCTTGAAAAAATGGTGCAAAAGATGGTGCTGGTGGACCCGCACTTGTACCTGCACTTGCACTAGCACCTGCACCTGCACCACTACCACCACCAGTTGGATGAAACATATGAAAATTTGCATTTTCTTTAGAAATTGAACGATGATTTTGTAGAAATTGTAATTGTTGTATGTGATGATTCCTCATCAAAGGATAATTTTGATTTTGAGATAAATCATCTGTAGAACTATGATTACTTCGAGCTCGTTTAGGTACAGGTGAAGAATCATCTTCGTCTGACTGATCTGAATCCATTGAGCTACTAGCTCGTATAGCTGGTGATTCTGATGTTATTACATCATCATTCAAAGATAAAATCGGTTTTAAAATTCCACTAGCAGTAATGCTACATTCAGTTTTATTCATTAACCGTTTTTTCTCACGTTTACCAGCACCGGCATCACGAAAACCTTTAGCAAAAGGATTATTGTCGATTTTAAGTTGCGTCACCTAAAATTATCTTTATGTAATATACTTTTTACAGTAAATGATTGTTTTTTTGCAAAAAAATAAAAGTTATTACTAAAAAAAATTATTCCATCGAAGTTCACTTCAAGTTGTATCACATGCGCTTCATTTAATTTGTGTTACTGTACAAGTTGCATATTTAAGCATAAGAAACAATTTGTAACAATGAATATAATAGAAGTATGAGTAAATATTATGTTTGCAAACGCATACTATTAAAAGTGCCTAATTATATTAAATTTGCATTGGGGATTAATAGTTTTGTTTATGAGTACTTGTGTGCTAGCAAATTGTTCTAAGAACATAATATTTATAGCGGTTTCATTTCAGATGCAATGCTTGTTTGCTATTTTCCGGTCTAAAAGGAAGTAAGTAAGTAAAGCTTTGGAAACGGTTAAGTTAGCTGTAAACGGAAAAGAATTGAGTTGCAGTGGCATTTATTGCATTTAACTTTGGTGAAATACTTAATAGCGTGTTAAATACTTTTTATAGTGAGATTAAAAATAGTCATATAATAGTAGTAGTAGTTAGTGGTAGTGGTAGTAGTGGTAGTGGTAGTAGTGGTAGTGGTAGTAGTAGTAGTAATAGTAGTGGTAGTGGTAGTAGTACTATTGATAGTAATAATATTAGTAGTAGTTGTTTTGCTATAAAAGTAATACTTAATGCATAATTTCTAGTAAATTAAATTTAAAGGCAAAGTATAGAATGATGGACTATTTTTGAAGGAATACTAACTAAGCATTTATTGCTTATCCTTCAAATTGACAATTTCCCAAGGGAAAGTGAATATTTCGTTTGATCACCAATGTTCTATAAATTCACTTAGTTAACAAAGAAATAAGCCACGAAATACCGTAATCCTTAGCTTAACTTACAAATTATTCAAAGAAGCTAATACAAAAAATATTGCATTTTGTAAGTTTTTCAAATTTTATCGCAAACTTTTTTTTCACAATTATATAATTTTTAACAAACACATACACACACACATACACAATGCAAACTATTTTAGCAAAATGTATTTGTGCGGCGAAAAGAGAAACAAAGTTTAGATAATCATATTCGAATGTGCTTCTTATTTGCAAGAATTCGAAGTAATTTTTTGGCAGCAAAAATAAGCTTTTTATTCAAATAAAATGATAATTTGTGGCAATATTTGTGATAAAAATGCGACAGATTCATAAAAGATGCAAGAATTAGCATTGGACAACTCATTTAAGCATCAGAATCTGTGATGCAGATAGATGAAGGCAAAAAGAGGGATTGTAAAGTAAGTAAGTATTTCTTTCATCGCTTCATTTCACTTTTTATTTTAAGCTTAAAAGCTAACATTTG